AGCAAGCATTAGGACTGCAAGTAACTTTGAACTCTTTGTAGTTGAGATGCCATATGACTTCCCAATTTCTGTGGCCTTTTCGTTGACACTTTATGCAACTAACCTTTTTTTTTTTCCTGAGTCGAAAACTAGGCCCCATAATTCTGATTAAAAAAAGAACACTTTGTTGTTCTTTTATCAGTCATTAACTGTCTCTTATCTGGACTCCTGGTCTGGAGCTTATCCTCTTCTGATACTGCCTTTTTTCTTTCTGAGGCACAAATCTTATCATACTTTCTTATTAACCTTAGAATAAAGTTCTTAGCACAAACGCTTTAGCTTGACAATCAAGATCTTTCCTAGAGTAGCCCTTGCTATCTCTTCAGTTGCATCTTCGACTACTCTCCCTTGTTCCCTACCTGCTAGTCATATGAGACCGCTCAGTATCATATCATTGCTGTGTTTTATATTTCTTTGCTTTTCCTCCACCTTGTCTCTCCTTTCCCTGCTTTGCTAACTCCTGCTCTTGCTGCAAAACCTTGTTCACTGTAGTATCTTCACTGCCTCCTTGCACCTTTCCCCCTCATAGTAGCTCAGTCCTTTGTATAGCCACAATATACATGTCTCTTTTTTAGCACTTCACAATTCTGTAAACATTTGCTTCAATACATTTCCTTGACAGTAAACTCCTTCACAGGAGGGACTGTGTCTTTGGACTGGAACTTTTAGCACAGTACCTAATGTACGTGCAACCTGGTAAATGTTTAGATCAATCAATCCTTTCCACACATCTGTTAACACCTCTCAAAACAAACGGTCAGAAATGGTGCACTAGATGTTTTACTCTTATTTATTAGTATAATGATTACTATCCTAAATTTAATCTGGAATGGGTAACTGGAAGGTCTTGAGAACTGGTTGACTTTACTACTGGCTTGTTGTAAACCTTTTTTCAGCTTCTTAGTTTGCTTGTAAGTATTCGCAAAGATTACATTTTGAAAATCAGCATTGAAATTTTTGGCTTTTAAATGTTATTAGAAGGAAAGAATGTGGTCTGATTGAAATGAATATGAGCATTTTCCCTCTACCCCACTTATTTATAGTATGAATGAAACCTCAAAAAAATGCAATGATGTAATTTAACCAAAATGCTCATTTTACATGTAGCTTTGGATTGGTCATGTGATCTGCAGAAAAATGCAAGTAGGGACATTTATTTTATTTTGAACTTTAGAGGGAAAGCAGATTTACATACAGAAGAAAATTGAATTAATTGCAATCTTGATCTCTAATGGTTGTTGTTGAAATCCATAACCGTCAATCCTTCTGTTTAAATTGAAATCTTAAATAATGTTTGTTTTAAATGCTGTACAAAATTTTTCTATTAAAAAATATTGCAAGAATTCACAGGTGAAAAGTCTAATTATCTAATGGCAGGTCATTAGCTCAGAACTTTGAGCTTAGCAAATTTCACTGTCTTCTACCAAGCAATTGAGCATCTCAAATGATGACTATTTCAGCAGGCATCTTTAATGAATAAGATTAAAGGTAAGAACATTTTTTTCTTTTCAAAAGTGTTAATGATATATTAGTAGTTGTATTAAAATTTGTTAATGTCAAAGTATGCTTTTGTAGTTGCAAAAACATTGTGTACATTTTAATGATGAATTTATAACTCAATGAAATTTTATGTAGTGTGCTTTTCTAATTTTTTTTAGATTGATTTTTCTAAATATTTTCACTGATTATTACAATTCTGTCCCTTAAACAGAATACCAGTATGGTTAAAGCCACACAACAAAATAGGGCACATAAGCCTCTTCTTGGTAGTTACTTCAATAATTTATTTTGTTCTCATCTACCAGTTTCTTAGTCAGTAAAATGAAGGGTAATAAAAACCTGTCACCAACCTCCCTTGCAGAGATATTAAGAAAATTCAGTTTCCCCAATTGAAATGCCAGCAATAATAGTAACACATGCTTAATAGCTTTCATTTTAATTGCTGCATAAAATCAATTTATTAGAATAGCTATATGTGAAAATGATTAGCATGGTAATGTTTCTTTTGTAAGAATTTAAGGTCGACCTTTGATAACATTTTCGACAGTAAGTGGAAAAGGAAAATTCTTTTATAAAATATTTTTAAACTAGTTTGTAACCAATATGTTTTACAGTTTTTCAGACTGAGTTTAAAATTATTAAATGCTTAGAAATAAAAATCAATTAATATCTACTTTTTGTTTCTTGCAACAAGAAACAAATTTTTCATGTTTTCTTACAACTTTATACATGTTCTTCTTAAAACAATTATTTTCCCATATAATTATTTTCCCATATAATTTCCCATATAATTATTCCCATAAATTATTAAAGCAGTGAAGTTGTACTGTACAGTTGATATTATTTCATCTTTATGAATATTGTTCACAATTAAATACCTGAGAGATTTACAAAATCTTTAACCCAAAAAATGATAATTTGTGCATTTTGTCAATTTTTTGTGCAAGTTTTATTAATTTAGATTTATTTAGCAAAATTAGTTGAAAGTTATTATAAACACTACCAATATAGTACTTCTACAAAAAAGGACATGTTCTATTTTAAATTGTTTACAATTTCATGTAATAACTAAAATGGACATAAGTAATTTTACAGTTATTATTAATATCTAGGAATATAACATTTATAGACCTAATTTTTAAAATATGCCCTCAGAGAATGGATAAAGAGGGATTTCATTGAGTAACCATGTAACTCAGTATTTCATTGAGTAACCATGAGGTTAGCTTTTAGGATGGTTGACATTTCTATCCTACTAGATGTCTTCAGTTTTGTCCATGAAATTTAAGTTAGTACAGTTGTTGCTTATGTTAAGTATATTAATCCTAAAGTATAGATATTAAGCCTTCATTAAGTTATGAATCACTTAACTATTAAGGGCATTTCTGATCAGGTAGTCACTATACTTATGCAGATTAAAATTGTTTAATGTATAATATCACCAAATAATATTTAGTCATCAGCAGTTTAAAAGAAAGATCCTTTGGCACAGGTAGTTTTTATGTTAAATTGACATATTGGGTTGGCCAAAAAGTGCCTTCGGTTTTAAAGCAAAAATAAAAGACACATTTTTTATTTTCACCAAGAACTTTATTGAACAATGTACTCACCCTTTTGTTCCACTATCTAAGGCCATTTTCCAGGCAACTTCATAATTCCATCTTCCCAAAACTTTCTTTTTGAGCAAAGAACCGTTCCAGGTGCCTTTTACAGTCTTCCAGGGAATGGAAATTTTTTCAATTAAGAGAATTTTGTTAAAGACCTAAATAAATGGAAATCCGAAGGTGCAATGTCTGGTGAATAAGGTGGATGAATGAGAACTTCCCAGCCAAGCTGTAACAGTTTTTGCCTGGTCATCAAAGAAATATGCAGTCTTGAGTTATCCTGATGGAAGATTATGCGTTTTCTGTTGACGAATTCTGGACGCTTTTCGTCGAGTGCTGCTTTCAGTTGATCTAATTGGGAGCAGTACTTGTTGGAATTAATCGTTTGTTTTTCCGGAAGGAGCTCATGACAGAGGACTCCTTTCCAATCCCACCATATAAACGTCACCTTCCTTGGATGAAGACCGGCCTTTAGTGTGGTTGGTGGTGGTTTATTTCTCTTGCCCCACGTTTATTGTACAGTATCTGTTCCACGTTTATTGTACAGTATCCACTTTTCATTGCCCATCACAATTGATTTTAAAAACGGAACGTTTTCCTTACATTTAAGTAGCGAACTGCACGCGGAAATACGGTTAAGAAAGTTTTTTTCACTTATGTAGAATGCAAACATCAAAGTGATGAACATGACCAAGCTGGTTCAAATGATTTTCAGCGCTTGATTTGGTATTTTGAGTATGTCGGCTATTTCCCACGTGGTAAAACGTTGATTGTTCTCAATTAATGTCTTGATTTGATCGCTATCAACTTCAACTGGTGTACCCGACCTGTGGAGCATCATCCAGCGAGAAATCTCCATCATGAAACTTGGCAAACCACTTTGACATGTTTAATCAGTCACAGCACCTTCTCCATACACTGCACAAATCTCTTTTTTGCGTTTCAGTTGTGTTTTTACCTTTCTTGAAATGGTAAAGCATAATAAGCTGAAAATGTTGCTTTTTTTCTTCCATCTTCAATATTAAAATGACTACACAAAAATTCACCAATTTTGATAAGTCCTTTTTTAAATGCACACTGATATGATAGCTGTCACATACAATCTAACAAAATTGTTTCGAATGAAGTTAAAGACAACTAAGTGCTAATAGAGCCGCCTTAAGGAAAAACACGAATGAGCCTTTTGGCCAACCCTATATTTTAAAAGATTTTATAGATGACATATGCCTTTATTAATGTCATAAGTTATAATTAGTATTTTTTAGAAATCAGAGTTTAAAATTTTATAGTTGATATTTGAGCTATGCTTGTGAAGGTTTTTAAGAGAATACATTCTTCAAAATTCTAAATTATTTCTGTAATTTTACCACCTTTAAGTTAATTGTAATATATATTGAAATGACATTACCATTTGAACTTTACAATAGATAAAATATTTTCTCACACTTTTTGAGTCCTATAATAGTAAATACTGGTGCATATTATATATATTAAGCATATAACCTGCTTTCATTTTTTAAAGGGTAATTCTTTTTTTGAAACAGTTATACTAATGTGTTATGTCTTTTTTAAAAATTGTACTTAACATAGAGAACCTTTGTTAAGTGCTCTTGTTTTTAGAGAAGAGGAAATACATGTCTGTATTCATTTATTTAGAGCATATATTGAATCTACTGTTTAGTCTCATGCATTTTACTTTTCCCTTAAAATATTTACAGAGATCATTTACTATTATAGTATAAATGTGCATTAATTTAAATTTACATTTAAATTATTTTAAGCATGCAAAAAACGACTGTTTCATATTTTTTATTGTAAACTTAAAATTAAATGCTCAATACTTATTTTGTTTTCAAGATTAAAAAATGAAGCTCCCACTAAGGAACAAGAACCTGTGTCTGAGGTAAATTATGTTATATTTGATATCTCTTAAAGATTTACACATTTGAAAGTATTGTGCGTGTGATTTTTAAAACACTTCAATTCAATGTGTGTACATCACTAACAATTATTGGTATGTTATCAGAAAGAAAAAACTTGAGATTTTTGTTTTCATTATATATAAAAATATTTAACCCTCGGTAAAATTGTAAAGTGTTTTATTTTGACAAAGGCATTATTATATTTCACTTGCCTGTTATTTAGTTCAACTAATAATTAATGGAGATAAATTTATGACTTAAAAATTATGAAATTATTAAAATATCAAACATTTGACACATTGGAAAATTAATCTTTTTAGAAGACTCAAAAAGATTTAATTTTTAAAATAGAAATATTTTGAATATATATTAAATACATTTTAGCTACCTTAAACAGGCACTCTGAATATAACACTCAGGGTTATCATATAAATGTTACTTACTGGGCAGTCTAATGTATGAGTATAGAAATAATTTTGCTTATGTATGTGTTTTCTTGGTGTCAGTTTTTGAAATATTTCTTAATGTTACTTGTCTCTTTCTGAGTATAATGAAGTGAGGCAGGTTCAGCATTTCTATTTTGTAGAGTGAATAAGTGAAACCTAGACAGTATCAGCCTTCTCCCAAGTGGCTTTCTTTTATCCCACGGAAAGTTTTCATTTGTTTGAAATGTTTTTAGCTACAAATAAACGTCTTTACTAGATATAGGATTTCTTGGTTATCTGTTCATTCTTGAGTGAGTTTTGGTGTTTGTGGTTTTTGAGGAATCGGTACATTTTATCTATAATGTTGAATTTATATGTAAACAGTTGTTTGTTGTATTCCCTTATTCTTTTAATGCCTGTGGGGTCCGCAGTGGTAATCCTCTCTTTTATTTCCAATATCGATATTTTGTGTGTTCTTTTTGTTTCTAGTGTCATATATTTTACTTTTAACTAGGTTATAAGACAGAATACAGTGTTACCATTTTTACTTTAAATTGTCTTTTAGAGCAATTAAATACTTAAAAAATTTTGTATTCACCTTCCTTTTTTCCATTTCTAGTGTTCATTTCTTTATGTAGCTCTTGGTTTCTTTCTTTTATCACATTCCTTTTGCCTAAACAACTTCCTTTGAAATATCTCATACTGCAGATCTACTGGTGATTACTTCTTCCATGCTTTTTTCCTTCAAAAAAATCTTTATTTTTCATTTTTGAAAGTAATTTTTTGGTGAGTATAGAATTCTGGGTTAACTGTTTTCTTTCAGCATTTAAAGAAGTCATTTTATTGTCTCTTGGCATTCATATTTTCTGATGTGATGTCTTACTGTAATTTTTATCTTTGTTTCTATATATGTATGTAATGTGTCAATTTTCTTTGGCTGCCCTCAAGATTTTGTCTTTATCTTTAGTTCTTATCAGTTTGAACATGATGTGTCTAAGTCTGATTTGCTCAGTTGTTTATTTATATGTTTATGTATTTATTTTTGGCATTCATCCTGATCGGTATTCTCTGACTTGTCCTGTATCTTCTACTTCTGGAGTTTCAATTTCACATATGTTATACCATTTGATATTAATCCCTGTTCTTAGATGCCCTGTTCTAGTCTCCCCATCCCCTCCTCCCTGCCTCCCACCACACTTTTTTTTCTTAGTGTTTCAGTTTGGGTAATTTTTATCTATTGACCTATTTACGGATTCATTTTTCAGCTGTGTAAGGTCTGCTGTTGAACCCATCAAAAACATTTTTCATTTCTGTGATTGTGGTTTGTTTGGAGTTTTTTTCCTAGCATTTGCATTGATTCTTACAATTTCTGATCCTTTGATAAAATTCCTATCTGATCATGCATGTTGTTCTCCTTTTTCTACCAAAGCATTTAACATATTAATCATAGTAATTTAAAATTTTCTGTCTGATAGTTCCAACAGCTGGGTTGTGTCTAAGTCTGGTTCTGCTAATTGTTTTATCTTCTGACAGTGTACTTTTGTTTTTTTTCCTTTGGTTTTTCTGTGTATGTTTGGTTGAAAGCAAGACATTATGTGTAGGACTGAGATAAATAGTATTTATATCTGAAAATGGGCATGATTTTTCTCATGTTAGGCCATTAGTATGGGATTTGGTCTACCTAGTAGTGAGTTGACTTGGGTTTTTTTTTTGTTTTTTGTTTTTTTTGGCGGTACGCAGGCCTCTCACTGTTGTGGCCGAGCCCGTTGCGGAGCACAGGCTCCCGACGCGCAGGCTCAGCAGCCATGGCTCACGGGCCCAGCCGCTCCGCGGCATGTGGGATCTTCCCGGACCGGGGCACGAATCCGTGTCCCCTGCATCGGCAGGTGGAGTCTCAACCACTGTGCCACCAGGGAAGGCCAGGGTTTTGTTATTTTTATCACTATGGTTACCCTCCATATACTGCCAAGTTCAATTCCTATAGTAATTCCTATAGTATTTCCTTGCGCTTAGGGTGGAAGTTATATTACTGGAGGTTTTTTTCTCGGTATCATTGCTCCACACTCAGTTTTAGCCTTTCCTTGTGAGACTGAGCCACAGAGGTTGTCTCTCTTTCTCTACACTCTTACCTTTCTTCCAGCAGTACTGCTGTTGCTTGTTATTTGATGTTTGCTAGCCCAGTGGTGGGTGGTGGGGATTGCTGTGATGTTCTCTGTTGTTCTCAGGCTCTCAAGCTGGCTCTGTGTCTCTGGGTCTTCAGAAGAGAAATGTTTTCTTCCATCACCCAGTTGGCGCATGTACCCTGGGGACAACAGGGTTTGCCTCTCTTCTTTCCAAATACATAAAAGCATGGGCATGAAGAAAACTTACGAATTCATCATTTCATAACATCATCCACTGATTGTTTCCTGATGCATTCATACTTGAATAAATCATCAAACTCTTACTTTCCTTTGATTGCCCTGTTGCATCTGTGTGAAGTAAAACCAACCTTTTCTTACATAAACCAACTTTCTTAAATTTATTTTTTGTTAAAAGAAAAAAAGCTTATGCTAAAAATTTAGCAGGCCATAAGCAGAGGAAGCCATATTGAATGGAAGGCCACATAGCACAGTTTTGGTCTGGTACTTCTTTCAAATATATGTGGTGTGGATAGTCCCTCGAATAGACCCAGGTGTTTAAGTACACATGTGAGATGGTGGATAGCTTGAATTATTCTTCAAGATTTTGATCAGATGGCTTGTAGTGGAATCAATGTTGTACCCCAGTAATATTTTCCTGTTGTCACTTTTTCATTTGTATAGTTTTACATTTCTTCTTTCAAAATTAATTCCTTTCATATGCTAGATTGTATTTGGAATTCATATTATATGGTGAGTTTCTAAAACAATCTCTTTTCTGCTACTATGTATATTCTATACACTGCAACATTTTACTGCTTTTATATCCTAACTATATATATATATATATATATATATACACATATGTATATATATACCATAACTCTTCCTCTTTAGTCTGATGGTTAGTGTAGTTTCATTATAACTAAGTAGAGGGGTAAGAGAGAGAAGGTGGGTACAGATGCCTTTCTCTTTTGTTGCTTCCTTCAAGGCTATTAGGAAACACTTGATAGCATGTTCCAGGAATCTTTATATTGGGAACAAAGATTAATAAAATTATTTCCCTATCCCCAAGGTGGTCAAAATCTAGTAGGACAATTAGACATGAAAGTATTGTAATCCAATAAGATAACTACCATATTCCAAGCGTATCAGTTATGGTAGGTACACACAAGAGTCCTCTCAGGGTGACTTTATGGTGTTTTTCTCTCTCTTTTTAAAAATATTGTTTTCTCAATTCAAACATACACATAATATGCAAAATAGAGGTCCCCTGTAATTTCGCTAATGAAATGGCAAATTAACCCTATAGCCTATTTCTGTAAGACTACTTGGGGCTATCCATAAAGAATTTCCAAGGTTTTTGTTTTTCTTTTTTTGTTCTGTTTTTATTGCTTTTTGCTTTGTAACTTTTTCAGACACTTGAGAGTTTCAGACTTTGTAAAATTACTTTTTATTTTTATCGAGTTAAAAGTTAAAAATTTGTGTGGCTAGTTTATCATAAAAGTAGTAACTCGTCTCCCTCACCCTTTTCCATCCAACTCTTCAGAGGTAGCTATTTTCAACTCTTTTAGCTATTTGATGTAATATTTATCTCCATATTTCTAAATAATGTAACCATATTTTTACTTGTCTTTTTTTCAACTAGGACTTACTGTTACAGTAATTAAGAATTTGCTTCTCTAGACCACCATCCCTACTTTCCTTCATCCCCCCCAACCCCAGCATCCCAGCCAGGGCCAGAATTAGAATGAGGCAAGTGAGACCTCACCTCTGGCAAAAAATTCAAGGGAGCTACAAAAAATTCAAAAATCAGATAAATATTTTCTTTTAATATGTTTAAAAATAAAAATTAATGCAGAGTGATCCATGATGAACATAATTTTAAAATTGTAATTAAAGACAGCATCCAGCCTTGCACTTGTATGACCCTGAGAGTCAATGCACATGGGGGACACAAGCACAACAAGGTCTCACTTCTGCTTTTTTGATGGTCCTTGTTCAGTCATGAGGGAAGGTGACAAGTTGTTTTCATTGTTTGTAGCTTCACATGTTACTGCTAAGTAAAAGGTAAACTTGTTTAATTACAAATACATGTTTATATGATTTTTTTTACAACATTATTAAGGGCACTAAGGTAAGTAATACAAATTTTATTAATATATTTGACCTTTCATAAATAAATTTGATGAAATGTGAAAATTTTCTGAAAAAGTATTTTCTTACCAGGAAACTTTATACTTTCTTCACTTAAAACAGTGATAATTTACTGTTACTCACTTGTTTATATAAAAAATATTTTTCACTACTTTTTTTTCACCCCGTTGGTCTGGAAACCTGGTATGTAGTTTTCTGTTGTTTGTAATTAATGATTTTTGTATTTTTCATACAAATGTTTATGTAGACCTGTTAAATATTATAATTTATATGAACTAA